GTCCAGCACTGTGTCAGGGCCCTGTCCGTGTGTCCGTACACCCAGCACTGACCTTTTCCACACCCAGCGACCCGCGTGGCCTCACCCCGCGTCCCCCACGTCCGTGCGTCCATCCCGACCCTGTCCCCTCCCCTGCTGACCGCCGCGTGTCCCCACAGGGAGGAGAAATCCGAGGAGAACCTGCAGCGGCCGCCCAAGGCCAAGAAGCCCAAAAAGGAGCGCAAGGAGCCGGAGCAGCCCGCGGCCGAGCCCGCCGAGGCCGGCAAGGCCGAGAGCTCGGAGGGGGCCGGGGCGGCGCCGGCGGCCCCGGAGGCGTCGGCGTCGCCGAAGCAGCGGCGCTCCATCATCCGCGACCGCGGGCCCATGTACGACGACCCCACGCTTCCCGAGGGCTGGACGCGCAAGCTCAAGCAGCGCAAGTCCGGCCGCTCGGCCGGCAAGTACGACGTCTACCTGATCAAGTGAGGCCCGGCGCGGGTTGTGCGTGTGTGTGTGTGTGTGGGGGGGGGTTGGCCGGAGAGGGGGGGTGCGGCCATCGCCGCTGACCGCTCGCTGACCGCTCGCTCTCCGTCCGCAGCCCGCAGGGAAAAGCCTTCCGCTCCAAGGTGGAGCTGATCGCCTACTTCGAGAAGGTGGGGGACACCTCGCTGGACCCCAACGACTTCGACTTCACCGTCACCGGCCGGGGCAGCCCCTCGCGCCGCGAGCAGCGCCCGCCCAAGAAGCCCAAATCGCCCAAAGGCCCCGGCACCGGCCGCGGCCGGGCCGAGGTTGGGCGGGGTTGGGGGGGGTTGTTTTGGGGGGGCGGGGCCGCGTCTTCCCCCCTCCCCCGGCGCCGCTTTTCTCGTTCTTCCAGTTCCGTTCGCGTTTTCCGCCCGTGGGAACCATTTGCACTATGGGGGAGGGGAGGGGGCGGGGCCGGGATCCGGCCAGCGGCCAATGGGGAGCGGCGCTGCTGAATGGGGGGCGGGGCCAAGGTCATGGCCAATCAGGGGCAGGGATCCAGCGTGGAGCCAATCAGGAGAAGGCGGTGCGGTGTCAGGGGGCGGGGTCTGGTGTGGAGCCAATCAAGAGGAGCGATGGGTTCAGCCAGGATCTGGGGCTGAGCCAATCAGGAGCAGAGCTGGGCGGGGGTGGGATCAAGTTTGGAGCCAATCAGGAGCGACTGAGGAACAGGGGTCTGGTGTTGAGCCAATCAGGTGTGACTTTATTGGGGGTCGGATTTTGAGCCAATCAGCAGCTACTGGTCTGTGTGGGATCTGGTGTCTGGAGCCAATCAGGAGGGGCAGGATCAGGAGGGGGCGGGGCCTGGGCTTTGGTCAATGGGGCGGCTCTGTGGGAGCCAGATCTCCTGTGGAGCCAATCAGGAGGGGCGGGATCAGGCCTGGAGCCAATCAGGAGCAGACTTGGGTTCAGCTGGGATCCGGCGTTTGGCCAATCAGGAGCCGCGATCTGGAGAGGGAGCAGAGGGGGATGGGGAGGATTCAGGATCCCCCCGAACGGAGGCGTGGTCGAGTCAAGAGCCAATCAGGGACCGGGTGGGGTGGGCGCTGTCCAATCAGGGCTGAGATCCTGCAGGGGCGGGGCCAGATCTGGTCCTGGGAGTGACTCCGGGCGGGGGCGGGGCCTGGCCAGGATCCAATCGGGAGTGGTTTGGATTGGAGGGGCGGGTCCCGCCCCCACCCAATGGGGTTGCTCTGCTCTGTGGGGGGGAAATCCAATCGCGGCCAATCAGGAGACGCCATGGGCATGATGGGAGCCAATCAGGAGCAAAGGTGTGGTCCGGTCCGGAGCCAATCAGGAGTCAGAATGGGCGGAGCTGGGATTCAGTCTGGAGCCAATCAAAATTGAGGATGTGATCTGCTCTGGAGCCAATCAGAGGCAAGAGTGGGATCTGGTACGGAGCCAATCGTGATCGAGCTCGGCAGGGCTGGGATCTGGTCCAGAGCCAATCAGAATTGAGCATGGGTGGAGCTGGGATCCGGTCCTGGGCCAATAAGAAATGAGGGTGGGATCTGATCGCGAACCAATCAGGAGTGAGCAGGGCAGAGCCGGGATCTGGTCCCGAGCCAATCAGGAGCAAGCATGGGTGGAGCTGGGATCTGGTCCTGAGCCAATCAGAAAAAAGGGCCGGGATCTGATCGGGAACCAATCAGGAGTGAGCTGGGCAGGGCTGGGATCTGTTCCCCAGCCAATCAGGAGCGAGCACGGGGCGATCCATTTCACCCTTGTGGGGGGGGGGTGTCATCCTGCCCCTCCCCCACCCGTCCCCTCAGTCCCATCTCGGGGTGGGGGAGGGGTCCCCGTCCTGCACTTTACCCACTCTGGGGGGGGAGGGGTCGGGGTCACCCCCCCTTTGTGCCCCCCCCGTTCTTCCATCGCCCCCCCCGGGGGTCCCCCCCCCCCCCCCAAATTCCTCCTTAAATCCCCCCCAGATCCTGTTGGATCCACCCTCAAAATCCCCCCCAGATTCCCCAAAATCCCCCCCCAAATATCCTCCCCAAATCCCCCACAGATCCACCCCAAAATCCCTCCCAGTGCCCCCAGATCTCCCCCCCAAGATCCCCTCAAAAATCCCCCCAAAAATCTCCCCAAATTCTCCCCAAAATCCCCCAGCCCACAGAGGGGGAGGGGGCTGGGTCACTCTGAGGGGGTCCCGGATCCCTCTGTGAGTTTGGGGATCCCAGGTGGTTTTTGGGGTCCCCAGGTGCTGATTTTGGGGTCCCCAGGTGGTGATTTCGGGGTCCCCAGGGGGGTTTGGGGTCCCCGTGTGGGGTCAGGAGGGTGATCCGGGATCTCCCCATGGATCACCTGGATGACGTCACTGGATTCCCTCCAATGACGTCACCGGATTCCCTCCGGTGACGTCACTGACCCCCCTGTGGGACGTCACCTGGTCCCAGGTGTCCCCCCGCCCTTTCCCCCCTCCCCCCGTCCTCGGGAGTGCCCTGGAAGTTGTGACGTCACGCCACGATGCCATTCCCGATTGCGACGTCATCACCCCGATGACGTCATCGCGGACTAGGGGGCGGGCCGTTCTCTCAGGCCCCGCCCCTTTTCCCGCCTTTGCGCCCCGTTCCGCCACGCTCAAGATGGCGCCGTTGCCGCGGTAACCGCGGGGGGCGGAGCTTCTGCCACACAAAAAATGGCGGCGCCAGCCGGGGGCGGGGCTTGGGCGGGGCCTTTCTGAGGGAGGAGGCGGGACTGGGACGGACTGGGACAAACTGGGACGGACTGGAACCCCCCACATTCCTCCCAAAAAGGCTCTGAGCCACCCGGAGGTGACCGGGGACACCCCCCGACTCATTTCTGGCTGGGGGTGGGGGCTTAAACCCCCTCCCAAAAATCCCCAAAATGCCGAATCGTCTCCCCGGACCCTCAGGGGGGATCCGTGTCACTGCTAGTGTCACACCTGAGGGTGCATTGTCACACCTGGGGCTGCTTCACACCTGAGCCTGAGGGGAGACACCCCAAAACTCCCTAAAACCTCCCCAAACCCTGGGACCTTCCTCCCGAGCCCCTGGCTGAGGAACCCTCACGCGCCTCCTCTCCTCTCCCCACCCTCCCCGGAGCATTTTGGGGTCCCGGAAGGGCAAAACTGGGGCGAAAAGCGCCAAATTCGGGTGTTTGAACAAAAATCCGTTACGGGGAAGGCGGGAAAAGCGCCTGCGCCGGAACGAGGTGGAGCCGAGCATGCGCCTTTACGGCCGGCGCGGTCGCGCACGCGCAGTGAGCGCTGCAGCCGTTAAGCGCCACCATCCGGGGACTGGCGGGCGCCATCTTTGTGGCGGGTGGAGGAGACGCGTCCAAAATGGCGGCTCCCAAGCGCCAGTAGCCGGCGCGGCGGGCGGGCCTTTCTCGGCTTTCAGCGCGGCGACGGCGGCTCGGAGCGAGCGGCGGCGGCGGCGGAAAGAGGCGCCCGGGGTCGGCGGGCGGAGGGTGGCTGCAGGTGCGGAGCAGCGGCGGAGCGGCGCGGAGAGCGGCGCATCCGGGTCCCGCGGCCGCCGCCATCTTGGGCCGCCGCGGAGCTGCGAGCTCCCACCTGCGCCATCTTGGGGCGCCGCATCGGGGCTGTCCCGGAGGGGGGACGAGAGGAAGGGGCGGCGGGGCCTGAGCGAAGAGCGCGGGGAGCGCTCAAAGCTCCGCTCCCGTCCCGGGCAGGCGCCGCCATCTTGCGCGCGCGGCGAGGAGGAGGAAGAGGAGGAGGAGGAGGAGGAAGAGGAAGATCCGGGCACCGGGCGGCGCCATCTTGGACCCCCCCTTCCCACAGCAGCGCGCCGCCATCTTGTGACCCCTCCCCCGCGCACCCGGGCACCGGCCGCTCCGCCGCCTTGGAGCCGCTGCGGTAGCGGAGCCGCACCCGGTAAGGGCGGAATGAAGCGGGGAGCGTCGGGAGGGAGGGTAGGAACTTCGGGGGCCCCGTGGAGGCCGACACCGGCCATCGGTTCCGCCGGATGGGCGGCGCCATCTTGGGAGGGGACGTGCGGGGTGTCATGGCGGCGCCGTGAGCCGACATCCGGGTCCTTCCCCCCCCACCGCCCCCGGGGCGCCATCCTGGGAGGGGCCGCCGCATCCGGGTCCCGCGCGCCGCCATCTTGAGAGTCCGGGGGGGCGGGGGGCGATGGCAGCGCCGGGAATCCCCGGCTCGTTTGTGTCGCTCGGAGCCGCGGGGCCGTGAGGCCTCAGAGCGCCTCCGGCATCCCGTTAACCCCGGGGGGCGGTGGGGAGAGCGAGGGAGCCCCGGGGCAGAGGAAGAGGAGGAGGAGAAGGGGGCGCGGTTTACGGAGGGGGCGGTACCCGAGGAGAAGCGGGGCGCCCAAGATGGCGGCGCCCATGGCGGTCTGAGCGCTCCGTACAGCGCTGCGCCGCCGGGAAACGGGCCGTGTCGCCGGCAGCCAGGCCGCGGGGGATTCGGTGTGTGCGGGGGGACGAGGCCGGGAATGCCGGGGAGCGATTACGGGGCAGCGGGAAGGCCGGGAGGGGCGGCACCGGGAGTTGGCGGGGCTCGGGGGGGGC